ATTGCTTCCGCTGTTTCGGATTTGGCCCTTATGAATTTGGTGAAAAGTTTTCTTGAGTAGTCGTCCACGATGGTAAGTACATACTTTGCTCCTCCCATCGATTCGACTCTGAAGGGTCCGACCAAGTCAAGATGTAGGAGATCGAGAGGATTCTTTGATTGTTTTGTGAGCACCGGTTTAAAGGGCTTCCTGGTGAACTTCGCTCTAATGCAGGTATCGCATACAGGCGTGTTGGATCGAGGTGTGAGTGGGAATTTGTGTACCATCTCGTTCTTGGCTAAAATGTTCATGTACTTTCCATTGATATGGCAGAGTCGTTTATGCCAGATCTCCCAGTCATTATGGTGGGATTTCATACTGTATTCATGGTTGGTGGTCCCGTGTCTAACAGTGTATAGGTCTCTCCACTTGCTGCCCAACATGATGACATTTCCTCTTTCGTCAAGCATTTTACAGTTCTTGGCGTCGAAGATTATCTTGATCCCCCTTTTTGCCAGTTTAGTTACGGAAATTAAGTTGTTGCTTAGATCTGGGGTATATAGTACGTCTTCGAGGAGTAATCTATTAGAGTCTTCGTCTCTTATTTCTGTGATTCCTATGCCTTCTGAGTGTATAACATTATTATCGGCCATGGTGATTGTTTTTCTATCTTTTCTCATGTTCTCTAACCATTGGCGATTTGGAGTCATGTGGCTGGTCGCCCCACTATCTATGATCCAGCATGTATCTGGCTCTCCATTTGTACTTAAAGTCATTACTCTCTGTCTGTTGTTACCCTCGNAACCTCTCCACAGCTTATAATATCTTAAAATTTGTAATAACTTTTTAATGACAATAGTAATTAAAGTTTTAATTTACCTCCATTAAAAATGCATTTGAAATTATTCAACTTTTTAAAAATAAAGTATTATCTTTAATTCACATTTTAATTAGCTGTAACAGTCATTTCATAAATAAAATAAAATTATTTATGATTTAATTGATAATATTTTTAGGTCATTAATTTTATTTAAAAGTTGTTATAATTTTTAAAACAAAACAAAAAAAAAAAAAAAGTTAGCCCAAGGTTGGACCGAATCTAGATCGCCTGCGTGGCAAGTGAGTTCGCTATAGACTCAGCCATTTCCCTAAGCTGCTATAGTCTAAAATCGACCAATATATGAGCTGTGCTTAAAGCTTTAGAGCCCTTTTTCTCAGAATCTTCTGGCTAGTGCACTATACAATTCCTCTGGGTGGACACCCTTGAGGTACACTACTANTTGATCTTCGGTTGTCGAGATCGATGTTGTCCCGTTTGTCTCTATTCCTTGCTTTGTTAATCGGGTTCAACCAGCATTCAATTGCCTTGTGATTTGGTTTACGGCAGATGTAGCATAGCGTTTCCCTCGTTCGCGATTTTCTTTGTGCATTGTCCTTTGGAGTTTTATAATTCGGTGGGTGATACGCTCTGTAGGCTGTGAGGTTTTCCCTCTGTTCGAGCCCATTTCTTTCTTCATATCTCTCGAAGGTTTTTCTCACGTCGGAGATCTTGGGGTCTTTTAGGTTGTCGAATTGCATGGCTATTAGGTTGTACTTTTGTGGTAAACCTCTCAATAGCGCGGTGACGAATTCGTCATCCTCTATTTGGGCTCCCATTATCCTAGCACTCTCTAGAAGTTTTTCTCCTCTTAATAGATAATCTCTCCATGTCTCGTCACGATTCATTACTAATCTCGCCACATTGTTTCTGGCCTCTATCGCTTGTTTCCTTAAGTTCCCTTNAGCCCAAGGTTGGACCGAATCTAGATCGCCTGCGTGGCAAGTGAGTTCGCTATAGACTCAGCCATTTCCCTAAGCTGCTATAGTCTAAAATCGACCAATATATGAGCTGTGCTTAAAGCTTTAGAGCCCTTTTTCTCAGAATCTTCTGGCTAGTGCACTATACAATTCCTCTGGGTGGACACCCTTGAGGTACACTACTAACCTGCAAAGTCTCATCCTGAACTGAATTTCCGAGACAGTAAGGTCTCATTGTTAGTGAAAATTTAGTAAAAAATAAAATAAAAAATCAGTTAACAGACTGTCACATCAAAACTAACAGTGACTAATATTTGACCAGATATTTTGGATATATTATATTCACAACAATGACAGAAATCAAATTAAGTATACTTGTGTTAATTTTTAATCACATATGAATAAATAATTGTGATTTACCCACATTTTTTTTTTTCTTCTTTCTCTTTTGTGCAACCTGTGTCATTTCAAATTTGGAAGTAAGGATCCGTATCTTGTGCTTACAATCAAAGAATGACAAATCTCACCCACTGGTTTATTATGCAGTGATCAAGTTTTAAATGTGGTCCTTACATTGACATGATGCATAGCTTACACCCCTGGTGTAAGCTATGCATCATGTCAACAGAAGATGGATGGAAACCTGAAATGTGTATTGGCAAACAAATGTATAAAAGATACAGTACTAAATAAAGTTGATGTGTCAAGAATCTGAGGTCTTAAATCATTAATTCATTGTGAAATAAACAGATATTATTAATATATTCAATTAAAATAATATAATTTAGTTTTTATTTTATATTCCAAATTTCAAAGCTATTCATATATGTGATTTTATTAAAATGATTTTCAGTGAAGTTGTATTTAATTAAATAAAAAATAAAATTTAAATTGAATCAGAATGGAGCATCAATCTTTTGGATTAATGCTCCATTTTAATTAGTCCATCATCATAAAACACACAAATCTCTTGACTTGTGTGTATCTTTATGAGAAAACTATTATTAGACTGAATTCCAATAAAGCATATTTCTCTGCTTTACAATAGCAGAATAAGAGATTTTATTCTCTCTTATTAATTAAACTAAAAATTAATAGAGATTTATGTCACTAAATTTAATTCAAATGAGAAAATTATATATATGATTTTTCTTATTTTTATATATATATAAATATTCTTGCATTTTGGCACTTCAATTTATTTATATATATGCTACTGTGAAAGACCAAAATTAGAGAATGTCGATATTCTCCAGTGAATGTCGAAGACCAAATGTTTGGTTTTATTATTATATATTTGAACAGTCTCCGGTGTATGTCGACAAGCACAGATAAGTTTTGGTGGAGGTCAAAACGACACCCGAGAAGCTGATGCCAACAGAGAGGCGACAGTCTGTCACCAAATCCTTTGTGGGTAGCCGGAGGTAGGACAAGGTCGTACCTCTTTTCCCGGCAGTGGTTTGGTGGAACCCACCCACTTTGTCACTGGATGGTGTTTTTGTTCTTTTGATCCCGTGAGGTGGGGATTGGTTTGTCAGGTCAAGTGGCGGAGGATGAGAGGAGTCGTCGGTAAGGTGTCAGCAATATCCAAATAAAAGACATCATTAACAGATCATTTTGTAATCACTTGATAACGTAATCAATTCGTAATTTGTAAGAAAAGTTACTTTCTATAGATGAGATTTCTTCTCAAGAAATATTGCTGAGAGATGCAGCTGCAGCTAATTCGAAAAGTGAAGGGCAAGGCTATACATGCTGTCATTGCAAAAAGAAGTGTTTCACAAATAGATGCAGTTGTAAAAGCAAGGGACTCTTGTGCAATTCAAAGTGCCATAACAGTTTATGTTGTTGCAATAAATAAGATTGTATAACGTTAATCACATAATTTATGTGTAAGTTTATTATTGTATTATTTTCTTTAATGATTTAGAATGTACTGTTTGTTTTAGGTTCAACAGTTTATTTACATGTGCTGTTACTTAAGCTTTCTCCTATTTTGACATATTAAAAAGCTGCATTTTTGTCTTAAAACGTAATAAAGATATTTTTATTCAACATTCACCATCAGTGCACGTTGAATGTCGACATTTGCCAGTGTAAATGAGAAATAATGATATTTAGCAAATATTTCGTACATGCACGAAACGGCTGTGTGAATTCTGACATTCACTGGAGAATGTTGACATTTGCCAGATATCGGTCATTCACAGTAACATATATATATATAAATTGAAGTGCCAAGATGCAAGAGACTGCAAATTAATAATGCTTAGCTTCTCCTTTTGACTTAATAATAGTGAATATACAAAGTGGCATGGAGTTCATGAGGTGCAGGAACTGGTGTATGAGTATAGTCATCTACGCATGTTGGATGGCAATCCATAATTCTATCATTATTTTTAAGAGGTGATGCCAAGTCACTAGAATGGTCTGTAATATCCCAAAGGTCTTTGATTGGGTTCAAATCTGGTGAGCATGGATGTCAAGAACACAAGTTTTTTGTTGGCACTGTTTTTCTAAAACAACCCATCTCCAAAGGGAATAAGCAAAGCATAAAGGAATGAAGATAATCAGCAATGATGTTCGTGTAATAAGAACCTGTTATGATAGATTCTATTTTAAGTAATGGCACCATAAGATAAAGATATTGTGACATATCTCACATAGATCTGAATATGCAAGAAACCTGAAACAACTATTTCTCAAAGATTAAATTCAATTCCTATAGTCTTCTACTATAATTGGAACAAGTACAACTTTACAAATATTAGAATTATGAACAGACTGTGGTCTGTCCATAATTCTAATATTTCTGGTAAACTCTTGAAACTGTTGTTCAGGAATATTCTAAAGCAGTGGCCATTTGGAAATAAAGTTCCCTATCTTGTGTTTACAAAGAGTGACAAATCTCATCCTCTGGTTTATTATGTGGTGATCAAGTTTGTGCTTTATGAATATCATATGAGCTGTTGAATTGCTTTATATTTTCTGCAGGAGGAAGGCAAGAAATAGTATTCTTCTGTCTTTTTTTTTTTTTAAATTCAATTTGCATGTTTGTAAGTAAATATTAGGGGCAGTCAAATGAAAACAAGACAGACTATATAACAAGTGTGGCACAGAAGTTGGTAATGCAGGTAGGTGTGTATATAGAAGTGCCCTCTATTGGGAATCAGGAAGGAACAGCGTGAACGTTCACCGCTATGCCATTTGTCTGTTAGGTTTGTTCGAAATGAGGTTGGCGAGTCGTGTGCGTCCAACGTCACTATAGAGGTCTGCTGCTTGTTGACTTTCTGGAACATGGTGCCACAATTAACGAACAGCGGTACATAGAAACTTTGCAAAAATCAAATCCAAACACCCAGGAATGTTGACAGACAGCATCATTCTGTTGCAGGATAATGCCCATCCACGTGTTACCAAGGTTGTTTTGACTACACTGCAGAAGTTTCACTAGTAACTTCTTCAGCATAGTCCATACACATGTTCCATAGTCTCGATTTCTCCCCATGCGATTTCCATATTTTTGGAGCCTCGAAGAAAGATATTCGTGGCAATCAATTTGCTTCGGACGAAAAGATGCACGCCTGGGTACAATCATGGTTCTATAGGCAACCGTAAACATTTTTCTATGAAGGCATTGACCATCTTGTCTCACAGTGGGATAAATGTATTAACAGTTACGGCGATTACTTTTGAAATAATAAACAGTTTACTTACTTTTTTCCCATCTGTCTCGTTTTCATTTGACTGACCCTAATAAGAAAATACTGTATATTAATTGTTATAATTGTTATGAATTTAATATATATGTGTGTTTTTTATTTAAAATTGTAATATTTATGACTATTTCACAAATAACATTCTTGATTTTCATCTAATGATATCAGAAATTATCTTCTAAGTTCACTAGATCTATTCTTTTAATCTTATCTTAAAGTTTTTATATTAATGTAGAATAATTTTCAATTTTATATAATGTTTAATATATTTTATATAATGTGTTATCAATTTTATATAATGTTTAATCAATGTATATTACTTTCAATTATTTACAATTATTTTTAACAATTACTTATATTTTAAATAGATATCGGAATATATATTTGTTGTTTCAATGAGTATAGAATTGACATTGAAAATATTAGCAGATGGTCTGTTTTTTACACCTAAAGCTTTAGTGAAAGATGTGGCAGGAATCATGGATTTTTTCATATATACTGTATGTAATTAAACTTATTATTAAATTACAAAAAAAAACTTGGTTTTATATGTTGAAAATTGCATTTTTATTTTATTATATTTTGCTCTTTAGGTTAATTTGGTCTTTCTGTGTTGGATGCCACAGAAAGTACCGCCTCAGTCTGGTGCTCAAGTCTTAATGATTTTAAGATGTGTTCGTCCTTTGCGTATATTCATTTTGGTTCCACACATGCGTAAAGTTGTATCCGAACTATGTCGTGGATTTAAAGAGATTTTACTGGTATTGATGAATTTAATTAACACTCACAGTTTTTTAAAATTTACATTTAATTTTTAACCTATTAAGATTATTTTGTAATATTACAGGTATCAGTTCTTCTTATTGTTCTTATGTTTGTGTTTGCTTGTTACGGAGTACACTTATTTGGTGGACGTTTAGCGAGATGCAACGATCCTGCTGTCACTGAAAGAGTAGGGTTAATTTTTTTTTTTTTAATATAGTAATTAAATATACAAATTATTAAGTTTAAAATAATATTTTAAATGGTAATAAATTAACTTAACTTATTTGAAATTCTTATCTTTTAGGCTGATTGTGTGGGGGTATTCATGAGGGAAATATTTATCACAAAAATGAAACTTCAACCAGGAGAAAATGAATCTTATCCTGCAATGCTCGTTCCTAGAGTTTGGTTAGATAATATTATGACTGCTTTAAAAAGAATTTCGTTTTGTTTACCACTTTTTAAAGAAATATTATAGAAAGATTTTTATGATTTTTAATAATAAAAACTTTTCACTTTTATTTGCCAGTTTGATGATATAACAACAATTATTTATTTTTCTTTCTTGTTGTCTATTGAAGTAAGAAAGTAATTGCATATTTAAAGTATTATTATTTTTATAAGATACAATTTTTTTTTGTTTTTATTATATAATTTTCAAAATTTCACATTGGGGAATTAATTAAATGGCAGAGCATTGTCCTGCTCCAAAATATAATCTGCTTTTTTTCTATAACTGAACATTATACTTTTTATAATATATTATTATTCTATTAAAAATTTTTATGGTTAATATACTTTCAACTTTAAGACTTTTTAATATATTTATATGTATTTTTAATATTTTCTTATTAAAATGAACTAAAATAAGAAGTGCAGCATTCTTTCATTTCTATAGGGCCAATCCCCGTAATTTCGACTTTGACAACATTGGTAATGCTCTTTTGACCTTATTTGAAATCCTCTCCTACGAGGGATACGCTGAAGTACGTGAAATTATCACTGCTCAAGTTGGGGATGTGAGTCTGGGACCTCCATATCTTTGCAATATTTTTATATTACTTTCTTTTAAACTTTTTCTATTACGTCTTGCATTTTTGGCTTTTAGCTTTGCAACACGATTTTAAATTGTGGCATTATTTAATTAAATTATGATTATTCGGATAACAATACTAATTTGGGTTATAAGAATGGGTATTCAAATGCTACATCATCTCTGCACTTTCAATAAGCATTCCTGATATAATGCATTTGTATTATATACTTCAGCTTAATAATTGAATATTTTTCACTCTGCAGATTCTTTTATTGCCTGGCATTGCATTAATTAACTCCCTAATGTGTATCCATAAGTAGTTTTGCCTTTATTAACCATTCATCTGTAGGCTAACAAATTTCTCTCTAGGGCCAATCCTCGCAGATTCAACTTTGACAATGTAGGCAATGCTATGCTGGCTCTTTTCGAAGTTTTATCCTTCAAAGGATGGTTGGATATTCGTGATGTATTACTTCAGAGATTAGGTCCTGTAAGTCTATTTTGTAAAAGAGCTAGGTTTTTTAATACCTATTTTCTTATTCAACTTAATAATTTCTTATTAAAAAAATGTTTAAAATATTAACGGCATATCATTCCAAAATTTAAGATTTTTCTGTTTATTTTTAAATTAAATTAAATTTTTATATTTATTTCTATAGGTCCATGCCATTTATATACATATTTTTGTGTTTCTTGGTTGTATGATTGGACTCACTTTATTTGTTGGTGTAGTCATTGCTAATTACAGTGAAAATAAGGTAATATTTTTGAATTTGTTTCTATAATATTAAAGAAACATTAAAAAATGTTATTTGATATTTAGGGAACAGCTTTACTTACCGTCGACCAAAGAAGATGGTGTGATTTAAAGAAGAGACTTAAAATAGCTCAGCCACTCCATTTACCACCCCGACCCGACAGTCACAAAATCAGAGCTTTTATATATGATATAACCCAGAAACTTTTCTTTAAGCGTTTTATCGCTTTATTAGTATTGGCAAACAGCAGTCTTCTATGCGTTAGCGTAAATAAGTCTTTCGTTCACTTACATTGTTTTTTAAATTTTATTATGTTTATTAATTTAATGAATATATTCCTTTCAAAAAATAACCTGTAGTGGAGATCAGATGAAAACTATACGATGCCTTTAGCCACTGTATCTGCTTCCTTCACAGTACTTTTCACCATTGAAGTAAGTTATCTGTACATAATATAGCTATAAAAGGAGGTTAGAAAATAAGATACTCAATCCTTTAGTATAAATTATTTTCATTTTAATGATTTAAAATATATGAAATAACAGAATATTCTGAAAAATTGTCTTCTTTCTTTACTTCTTTCCAATTTCTATTATAGTTTGATTCTCATTTTACTTTTTACTAATAATACTTTAATAAAAACAAACATGAATAAAAGTTTATTTATATTGTTTTATTTATTTTATAAGAAACAGATGTTACAGATGGTTATGCTTAGCTTCACATATATAAATATTTCAAAGCCCAATGTTCAAATAATTGTCATATTGAATTGATATAGCAATCTTTTGGCTTATACTTAACTATTAGACATGACCATCAAATAAACTCATTCAACAGCTATAAGTACCAAGAAAATCACATTTATTATGTGACACTAGGATAAGCATGTAGAAGAATATGTCAATAGCAGTATAGAGACTTTTGGCATGCATTAATTCATCTGCCTGAAAGCAGGCATCCCAACATTGCAGCAGTTGCTTTATGCCATCTGCAAAGGAGGAGAGTTCCTGTTCTTTTTACTACCGATGAACATGGCTTTCACATCATCTGTGAGATATCATCTGCCAAAAGCTTTCTTAAGCAGCTCAAACAAAAAATAGTCATATGTCAACAGCTCAGGACTATACAGGATGCTTCAGAATTTTCCATCTCTTTTTGGCAAGAGTTTAACAGTGGATGATCATTATTGTATAGAAGACTAACACCTAAGGTGAAGAAACCTAAATTCTTCTTTAAGACACGATGGAGGTTCAATGTCTGTAGATAATGCTGTGTGTTGATTATTGTGTCCATTTTTTAAAACTGTACTAACAGAGGTCTCTTGTGGCCCAGAAGATGATAAGAATTAACTTATAATAATGAAATTTCATCAGTTGATATTTTTTGAGTTAATTGAAGACAAAGACTGTCCAAAAATTTTTTTGGACAGTCTTTGTCTTCAATTAACTCAAAGAATCAACTTACTAGCTGGACTTTTGGGATGTGGTGGACTGCAGGTATTTCTACTGCACTTAAACCTTTAAGGACTTGCTTGATGGTTCAAAGTGGTGACACTATATTCTCTGAACTGTCACTATGCACTGCACTGGAGAAAAATGTCACCCTCTGCCTGGTAATATGCTACAGCACTAACCACATTCATTGGTCCCTATGATGAACAGGAACCCACAGTGCATACACCTTATTGTATCCCAACTGTGTCATCTAGAGGAACCATATAGTTGTGTGTGAAATTTAAACTTGGATGCTATTGTATGTAGCTTTTCGATTCCCTTAAATGATAGCAGGCATTTCATTTGATCACACCAAATACAATAATGTATTCCTATGTTTCTGTTTGACAGATTTACAAATTTTTCAGAATTCTCTTATAGCATTTGCAATTTCAGCACATGTATGTACTTCAAATGTAACAGCTATACAAACTAATCTGTTACTTTCTCCAAGCTAATCAAAGTGAGGAAACCAGTAAAGAAATAGCAAGTGAAGAGGACAAATCGCTAAATTAGATTCAGACCTGCAAATAACGAAAGAATGGTAGAACTCTTGTGTATTCAGATCAGTGTTTAAATATTGGAACAGTGTTATTCTGATGATTTTTTTCCTTGAAAAAAAAGTTTGTTTTTTTTTTCATTTTTCTTAGTAAACTATTATCCACATTATTGTATTTTTGATGACAAATATTCTATTCTTTCTTGATCTTCACTTACAATCAGCAGTTTTTATTCTTCAATATTCTGTTTGAAATGTTTTTGGAATGATGATATGTAATGTGACCTTCTAGTTTCTCATTTGTTAACCAAATTTATTTTTCTATCCGCATCATGTACAGTTCTGTTTTTTTTTTTGGAAATTTAAATGAATAATTGTTTTTGCTATTGCTTTTAGGTTTACCATCTCGACAATAGGGATACCAAACTGTTAAAATGGAATATTTGGTTGATATGACATATTAAACAAAAAATTTCCCTTTCCATGCTTTACATACAATTCTCTACTAACACAATGTGTTATCAGAGAATTGTATTCTGACACAGAGATCCAACATCTACTTTTCTCTGCTTTTATCTTACATTGATTTAAGTTTTGATTCAAATCTATTAAAATTGTAGGTAGTGATGAAAACCATTGCTTTTACACCTCGTGGTTATTGGCAAAGCAGAAGGAACCGCTACGACCTGTTTGTCACATTCATTGGTGTAATTTGGGTGGTGATGCACTTCATGTTAAGGGTGAGTATTTTGAAAATAATTAGATTTATATCAAAATTACTATTCTGAATTATGAATTTTAAATAATCGACAGAACATTTTGTATAAAATCTTCCAGTCTTTTATTTCTATTTAACTGAAAATTATATTTAAAAACAGTTTTATTGTTGTATGTCAGAATTTTTGTCATATTAAACATTTTCAGAATAAACTTATTTTGTTTTTAGAAGAAAAATACACTCTAAAGTGTTAAAACCATAAAAAGTAAAAAAATTTTGTTATAAATCTGTTAAGATGTTTGGATTTTGAATTTTTTTAAGATTTTTTTTTCTATTTGAACTCTCATTATCCTAAGGATAATGTGTCACTGGACAAAAACATCTTATGTTTTTTCTTATTTACTGCAGTATTTTTTAATACATTGTTGTTTTTTTGAGAAGTTTCTAAAACTTTATGATAAGATTTGAAGAAAATTATAACTCACTTGGATAACAATGTTTAATAAATTTTAATTATGTTTCTAGTGTAAAATTGTCTTGATTTGCAAGAAAAAAAATTAAACCAAGAACTTTTGGGACAGACCCTGACATATCAAGAAAACTGGCTACAATTACTAGTGGCTCTCTACTATTTTTTATATGAAAAAATTAGAAATTTCCTATAAAATTTTAAAAATTTCTCAAATATATCAAAGTAGCTAATGCAGTATAGATGTTTAAATATTCTTTATTGATTTCAGTATTTAATCGTAAAAAAAAGAACTTTTTATTTTAGATAATAAATAGTCAATACAAGGTTAGTTCTATTGTTAAATTGGCTTTTATTTCTCCAATCAATCATACTTTTAATTAAATATAACAATTTTATTTCTAATAATTAAATTCTGTGATAATTAGTAGAAAGTAAAATTATTCTAACATCAGCAGGGATAAAATTTTAACCAATATTCAAAACAATAATAATATTTTTAAAAAGAAATTGTTATCTGAAGTATTATTATTAGTTCAAAATTACTTTTAGATATTTAAAATCTTCTTTAAATTCAAAGCTAATGATTACAAGATTTTAAAATATAATTTCAGAATGATTTAAGTCATTCATTTGGATTTGCAGTTGTGATATTCAGGTTCTTCACGATTACAGGAAAACATGTAAGTTTGGTGAATGCTTTTAATTAACTAATTCTTTACATTAAGTGCTGATTGAAAACAATAATGAATGCAAAAATGCAAAGTAAATTGATCTATAAAATACATTTTGCTATTACATACTAATTCTAAAAATTGAAATATTAAATTTTGTTATAAAATTTAACATGTACTTAGAGTGAAAAATGAATAAGAGTTAAAGATCTTTTGAAGTAAAGATAATAGTTTAATTAAGTTAATAAAAACAATTGTTTTTAATGCTTATAAAAAAATAATTTATTTTAAATATCTAATTTATTATTATTATTCTGTATTTTTAAATAGGCTACATTGAAGATGTTGATGCTGACTGTGGTTGTATCAGTTTATAAAAGTTTCTTTATCATAATGGGAATGTTCCTATTAATCCTGTTTTATGCTCTGACTGGAGTCATTCTATTTGGAACTGTCAAATTTGGAGAAAACATAGGGAGGTAATAAAATCTTAAACTTTTGTTTTAATATAAGTGAATAGTTTTATTTTTTGAAAATTTAAATATATTTTTGTTACGCAGACATGCAAATTTTCAGACTGTTCCTAGTGGCATAGCTATGCTTTTTCGAATTGTAACAGGAGAAGATTGGAATAAAATTATGCACGACTGTATGGTAAATAATTTTGTGTCTTTATTGCTGTTTGTTTAGAAATTAAACTTTAAAAATATTAATAAAATTTTCAAGATCTATTAGTAACATTATTAATAGAGAACAGCAGAAAAAAGTAAATTATTTTGATTAAAACTGTTCTCTGAATTATATAAGCTATGACATAAATCTTTTTATATGTATATAATTTTTTCATGTAAGTTTACTATAATATAATAAGTTTTGAATTGCAAAAATATTTATATTAAATTCATAAAAATATCTGTGATATATGGCAAAAGCCTGATATAACAGACCATCATGGGACTGAAGAAATTGGTCTATTATAATGAAGGTTCATTTTATCATGATTACTTGTTATTATGGACTCGTCCATTACTATACAATAGAATCATGTTAGAACAGATCTCAATAACTAACCTGGAGAAAATATCTGCAGTTCATGGATGCTTTCTCTATGTCCAGGTAACAAATTGATATATTTTTTTTCCTCATTTCAGAGGAAAAAAAAATTGTTACTGCAAATACAAGGAGATTCTACAATATATAGCAGCGTTTCTCAAAGTGGGCGATAACGCCCCCTTGTGGGCGCTGGAGGCTTTCAGGGGGGCAGTAGAAGGCTCAAAGAGAATTGGGGGGCGTTAATGAAATATAGAGGGGCGACGGCAGACAAATTCTATATATAAAAATTCGACGGAATATATATAAAATGTTGACATTTTATATATTTTTTATTTTTTATTAAAGGTCACAACTTGAATATTTCTAACACATTGACTTTTATTTTAGCTCAGCGTTTCTCAAAGTAAGCAATAACGCCCCCT